AGGTAAGTGACAACAAAGAACACACTTGTCATCTAGAGATACCAGTTAATAGAATTGACATAACTTGTGAGCAACTAGAGATGCAGAAATAAAGAATGGAATCTAGGAGAATTCCAGTTTTTTGACCTCATGCAACTTTTAACAAGGAGAGAAATTTAGGAAGATAACCAAATTTGTGTTGATTAAATCATTAATTAAATTTAGAGAAATAACGAGTTTGAAGATATTTAGTTATTAGATATTTCCATTTGATAGTGAATCTAGGCGAATTTAACGTTTCCAAAGTAGGATTCAGAGCTAAAGCCATAAAATGGATAAAGGTCACCCAGGAGGCAAGCAGTACGCGATTAAGGATACAAATGAGCCCTAAAGAATGTCACCAGTGAAAAGATAGAGAGAGCGAGACCGTATTAGACACGGTATTATTATATATAAGCATTTAAAAATTTTTGAAGCCTGATGCACTCTTTTAAGAGTGTTGATTTCATCTCTAAAAAGCTTGGTGAAGTCATGTAAATTTCAATCCTGCCCTGTTGTCAAAAGAATACACAAAATATCTGTGAGCAGCAGCCGGGTGTGGTTTTGTTTTGTTCTTTAGATTTTTTTTTTTCCTTTTTGTTTTTAGTCACCAAATAGGTCACTCTCTTTTCTGAATAGAAACCATCTTACCTCCGCTCAGCACCTCGCTCCTACAAAATAGTCCAGGTATCCCGAATAACTCTGGAATCAAACTCTTCTCGGGGGTAATGTAGACTCAATAACTTTATATTTGCTTCTTATTTAGATCTTCTTGATAAATCTCATGATTTCAGCTTAAAGTGGTGAAATAAGATCAAGATGATCACAGTGAACACTAATACACAGAAAGAAGAATGAGAGCCATACAATTGTGATACAAGTTCCGATGGTCTATGTGGTAGATGGCCGTGAAGGCCCTTACCCTGGAGCAATGATTTTTTATCAGAATCAGATCTGTTCATTGGCTGTAAGTTGGCTCTCAGTTCTAGGATGCCCTGACTTTTCTATTTTCTCCCTCGGCAATGGTTTTTAAATTGAATAGTGTGGATTACACCTTTCTTGAGAACTGACCTTTTTGCTCAGGAGTTAAAGATCCAGTAGTTACTTTATTCCAAAAAACCACACCGTTTAGTTTTGGATAGTATTTGTTTTAGCAGAGTAATCTTCTAATATACTTAGTTAACTTATTTATTCCAATCAGTGCTATGCATCAGTACTTTCTATTTTGTAGTAGATATAATTTTAGAATTTGCTATATTTAATTGCTTACTTTCCTTCATCATTAAACAATCTCTCTCATTGCCATGTTGTTAAAGTAATTAAGGATACTTTCGTCTTTCTGTACTTTGTAAAATTGTAAATTTGTAAATTTTGTCCCTTTACCTAGAGTCATTTTGAATAAACAGCCACACCTTAGACAGCCTTTACCCAAAATTTCTAAATTTTTAAATTGTATAGTTACTGTTTGGGATTAAGATATAATTGTATTTTCCAAACTTTGATGTTCTTAAGCTTTCTATTTACAAATATTCAGTTTTTGAAATCTCCTTTTATTTAAGATCTTGCAAAATCTACCAATAAAATCTAGCACATATTACTATAATTATTTTTCTACATTCTTCTGGATCAATATTATGTAGCTGAAAACGTAGGATAGAGACTGTATTGGTAATTACCTCATCATTGCATATGCTGATTACTTTCCTTTCTTATTTAGTATCAATTTTCTTGTTTCACCACCAAACTTCAAGCAAATGATACATTCTTTAAATTTGTATTTGACAATTCTCTATCTGCATATAAAAATATCAATCATATTAGGTCCAATTTTGGTGGTTAAAAAAAGCAATAGATTTAAAACAATGACTAAAATTATGTGTAAAAAGTCCTTTGTGCAAGTCAAGTGACATTTTTAGCTTTTGTTTTTGCTCCAAACAAAACGTCAAAGAATAACTAAAATCACATGATAAATATTTTAGCATCTTATTTACTACAGGTAAAAATATACTTCACAGTTCATAGAATAAACTCAAAAGTTAGTTCATAGAAATACTGCTTTGTATCTTCTTTCTCAACAGAGAGAATAACAAAACCAATCTAGGTTCACAGCACAGCTGTGACTAACGAGCTCCATAGAGCTAGTACAAGTGCATGGTTGGTGTAGATGGATGATGCTCCTATTATATGGATTCTCCCATGATGGATGAAGCATTATCAAATGATAATTTTTATAGGAAGAATATTCACAAGTTGAAGTTTGAAGCAACTGAAAATTGCTTTATTGAGAACCAGGAGTTACCTTTATGATCGTTTTGATACATCATTTTACATTCTAGAAAAGGTTGTTAACATTGGAATTTAACAATGAGACTTTTCAGGTACATTTGCAGTCTTCCTCCTTTTGCGTTTGGATTTGCATCCTAAGTTTAGATGAAGATAAAGGATACTTGAAAACCAGTAATTTCTTTCCATGTAGTATTATAAATTTAGCTCCTTGTTGAACTAATTCATCCGGGAAAGAAGGTGCCTTGGGAGAAATCACCAGAAGTTAGTGAAATATAGTCACTGTGCTAATTATTATTTGTTTGCAATGTTAAAAATATTCAAATGCCATTTATGAAACACTTTTATGAATCATTTAATGAAGATATGTTACCTTTTCATAGTTGTTTAATTATATTACTGCTTTTCATCAATACTCACTATATTAACAATAGTCTTATAAGATATAAGTATTATTAATTTTATTACTCATTTGAATGGCGACAGAACCGGTCTGATGATGTTCCACTGATAATCCAAGACAATAAATCTCCTACTCTTTCAACTTTCTTCTTCATAATACATTAATTTTTTCTTAAAATACATGATCACTCACAAGCTAAAGTACAGTTATTAAAATCAAATATATGAACATATACTAAGATAACATACAATTCATAATAATGTTTAAAATTTTTCCCTTTACTTTCTCTTAATTTAAATTGGAGCCTTCTTGATAACAAAATTTTTCAGAGGCGATTTTTCCCCACAATTAGAATAACTGAAAGGATTTTAATGTATGATTAAAAATATAACTAATATTAAAGTTTTTAATCTATTAGTACTGATAACAACCCACAGTGATAAGCAGTTTCTGGTATTCATGACCCATGCCATCTTCTCTTATTTTGGAGAGGAGGCACTATTATAAACACTACAGTATTGAAAGTCATGCAATCTGCCCACTAAGTTTAGTCATAGAAGATACAGCAATGTTTCCTTTGGTTTGTTTTGGGAGAAGTCAATGGCCAGATAGTGGAACAGTCAAGAATGATGGAGAGGGCCACATGGTGAGGAACTGAAGCCTTGCTCTTTGGACTGAGGGAAACTTTCTTTCTAAAAACACTGAGTGAGTCCTCAAGGGAGGGATCTTACTGCTCAAATGATACCTTTAGATAACTTCCACCCTAACATATATTGTCTCAAGACTCAGGAGAGACACTTGAATTATTCAGCTAGAATATTCTTAAACTGCTGATCCACATAATTTGTAAGGTAGTAAACAATTGTTACTTTAAATTTCTACATTTGTGCTATTTTTCATATAACAATAATATATACAGATTATCCTAAAATTCCTCAGGACACTCCTGTTTCACTATGAAGATGGTAGTATCTTTGCTGCCACATTTGAAAAGATGTTACTTAAGTTTAGAAAAGGAACAGCTGAGGAAGACTAGAAAGCTAATCAAGTGAATGATTATGGTTCCTGGTGTGTAACTCAAGCCATGGAAATAGGATCTTAATCTGAAGGATCAGAGTTATCATTTAGGCTTCTAAGTAGGAGAACTCATAACATTTCAAAGTGAAGACCAATTAGAAGATGGTTGTGATAATCCCAGAAATAAGCACCAAAGGTGAATTTAAAAAGCAATAAAGAACACAAATACATAGAGGAAATACTTCCAATAGGACTAGGTGAGCATGTAATTGGTGCTGTAGTCAGGGGTTGTGAGGAGAACAATTGGAATCAGGATATGGAATTTATAATATTGTTTTATGATCATCACCCAGAGGAAATCTATTCAGAACACCAAAGACATGGAATATTTAGTCAAGGGACTCAATCGCACAGCTATGTCCTACATGAGTTCAGATGAAAACCTCAAAGCCTATGACAATGCCTCCCACGAGTCCAGCTGGAGGTCTGGAGCCCACAAGAAGGACTCATGCCAGTCTCTTTATGGATCCATGCTAGGAAGGCCCAAAGGTCAGTGGTGGAAGCCAGAAAGTCCATGTCAGCGGGGTGAAGGAGCTGTGCTGGTCAGATGAGGGTTCTACGCTGGAGCTGAGAAGTCACACTCACAACAAAGACAGGGCTGTCCTGAAAAGCACCACAGCCATCCTCAGCAACACAGAGGCCCTGAGCTCCTCCGACATTCAAGTACATGCCAGGAAGCCAGCATGAGGAGTTCATCCTAGAGATTAAGCAGCACATGTCTTTCTCTCCGGAGTCAGGAAGCAATGCTCCATGTAAGAACCAGAGCTTCTCCAGGAGAACAAACAGTTCAACCAGCAACTTGTAGGAGAACCCAACGCTTCAATGCCTCCCTTCTCCTCCTCCACGTCTCTGTCCATGCTGGCAACTTTCCTTAGGTAGAACATCTACGCTCTGCACCATGATGATTTAATTCTGCTGGTGTTAAGTTGACCACCAATTTTTAATCTATAGAAATTGGTGATTGGAGAAGTGGGGATTATATCAAATCTAATGCAAATATAATCTACCAATAGCTTCCCATTATCCTCATTATAAAGGCAGACCAGAACATTTTTACTTGGACCTGACTGCTTTAAATTTTTCTTTCTGCCCACTAGCCATTTTACCATAAAAGTTTGATAGATGATTCATAACTCTAAGTACACTTAACTAATAGTATATTTCTTTAAATTGTGAAACAGGTATCATTTTCTTTTTATTTAAAAAAAAATCCAGAACTGTGCTTGCTTCAGCAGCATGTGTATTAAAATTGGAATAATGCAAATATCAACATGGTCCCTGCACAAGGATGACATGCAAAAAGCCCCGGAACTACACTGTAATTGTTAGTAAACATATTTTGACTTACTAATATAAACTAAATTGAAACCCTATGTTTGTGCCTTGATTTAGTAGATATATATTCGAGCTATTTGTAAAAATAAATAATGTATGAAAACAAAATGAAAACAAATAGACCAAAAGGTGTAGGACTGTTAATTAAATGAATATGAGATATTCAAGGTAGCTCAATGGGTAGTTAATATAATTTGAGTAATAAATAGATGGGTTAAAGAAATATTCCTGGGTAAAACTGTATCTCAAGGAATAATGACTCAGAAGTAAGAAGGAAGCCACAAAGTCCTGTTTTAGAAGCAAAGCATAAAAACAATTTCACGAGGCAGTTAGTGACAGACATAAGTAAAACAAAAATTTACTTCACACATACAGGCAATATATTGTTAGTACTTTGCAGGCATAATTTAATACTTATAAAAATTAAGATATAGAGATTATTGTATTTACTGAATGCATTAACCAACTGTGGTAGAAAAAAAAGAAGATAGCTGTCTTGGTTACTTTTCCCTCGGTGCTGGGACAAAATACGCAACACCAAAAATGAAGGAAGGAAAGGATTATTAAGCACAGTATTTGTGGGTGTTTCAATCCATAATCATTTGACACCAAGGCAGGGTGGCATGGCACAAGGGCAACACTTCAAGGCAGCAGCCAGCAAAAGCAGCCAGAGCAAGACGTAGGGAGAACAAGCTTCTTGCCCTCCCTTATATTGTAAGTAGTCTATCTTCCCCCCAAGGTAGATGTAGCACTCACACCACCTGTGTGTTCTCCTCTTTTTACAAAGTAAAAATCCTATTTACAAAGTAAGAATCCTGGCTCCCTGCTGGGCTTCTTTGTTAAATTTCTAAACTTCTCAAATTGACACAATGTATCAACCATAACAATAATATTGCAAGTATAGGGCAGAGTTTAGATTCGCTCTATCATTTGAAAATTCTAGGTTAATCACTTATTATATTGTGGATATTTTAAAAAGAATGCACAGAATTTTGGTAAAAAAGAGGAAAGTGATAAACATATGATCAGCAACGTATTAGTACCTATTGCAAAAAATCAGCCCAACACTTTGTAGCCAAAACCAATAAGCATTTAAACCTACACTTTCTGGAGGTCAGAAATATAGCAATGGCTTAGCTTTGTATTTGTAGTACAAGCGCTCTCAAAAATTTTCATAAGGAGGAATCAAGATGTTGATCAGGCTGAATTCTTTTCAGAACATTCTACCAGCAAAAGAGTGATCCATTTCTCAGGTCTTTGATGAGGACTTCTGCACAAGGCTTTTTCACTACAAGACAACCGACCTTGCCCAGAATCAATGTTCCAACGGGTGGGAATGAAGAAACAAATTGGGGTGAAAATCACTTGCAGAGCAACACTGAGGCTTCTGAGAGAAATTTGTACTATGATTGTTTATAAAGAAAATACTGATTAATAAGGCAACTGTTTATTTGCATATATTGTTTGTATGTGCATATGTGCAAATGATATATTTCTAAATATGTATTGATTTAAATAAAGATAAATTTTGATAGTTGATTTTGTGTTTTCATGTCTTTCCTCAGAGCTTATCTGTGTCCATATTTGCTTTTATTGTGGAGACATTTGTCATATTGGGTTAGGTTCTGTCAGACTTACTGTATTTTTACTTAGTTCTGTGAAAGACCATGCTTCCTAATGTAATTATAGTAGGATGTAATGATGGTTGATAGTTCAACATGAGTTTTAAGGAGACCTCAATCAGCCATGTACTTAATGATATAATATGCAAATGAATTAACGATATAGAATGATAAATTCTCTGACTCAATAGTGTAAAACACTAACTAAAAGTAGTTACTTAATAGTGAAGAAATTTGGCATATAACATTGATTCAAGCAATATAAATTAAACTTTACCTAGCATAGCATGGCTCTTGATGTGATACATAGAAAACATTAAACCCCTCTTGCAGCATTCCTACTTTAGTAGAAATATAATCATACAGAAACAGCAGAACAACTGAAATCTATGTGCATTCTAAAGACTACTTACTGGTATGTTTTTCTTTTAATGTCAAGCTTATTCAAAATGAAAAATACTGGACAGTTTCATTGAAAAAGACTAGAGAGCTGTGATAACTGCATGCTATTCCTGGGTCATTTGTGAGGTCTTAGATCTATAAAAGCCATTGTTGGGAAGATAATTAAAATTTGAAGGGAGTCTATAAATTAGATGACAGTGTTAAATAATAGGTAATTTCTTGATCTTGATAATTATCTTGTGGTTCTTGTAAGAGATTTTTTGTAGAGAAAAAAACCACCAAAGTTCTCTGAATTGAACAGGTGTAACCAATGATAATATCATGGCATAAGCTGTAAAATTCTAGAGAATTGGATAATTTGAAATTACAGGTATGGAAATTCTTGTATTTTCAGTAAATATTTCCTCTTAGTGTAAATTTCTTTGGAAAAGTAAAACTGCTTAACTCTGAAACCTGCATAAATAAATAGTAACTAAATGTTTTTATAAAGATTGTTTCTGAACTTTTAAGAAAAAGAATCTATGTTCTACTGTATAATATCAGATAATAGATTCTTTTGCTCTCCACTCACACCCTGTAATGCTTTCATATTTTGTATTTGTTACGTTTTAGAAATACATAAATTTCAGTGTTAACATAAAATTGTGTGTGTGTGTGTTTTAATGCATTTTGCTATAAATCTTGGGAATATTTTGCTTTTTATTTTATTTTAAAGAGATAAAAGTAAACAAAAATTTAAAAAAATGATGCAGAGTTTCAAAAAAGGATATTGACAAACTTTTCAATGAACTAAAGTAACAGTGGTTAATATAGTGCATATTATTGTCTTCAAAGTAGTTATTTAGGTTATAAGATAGGCATGCAAAATTAATCAAACAATATAAGCATAATGAAAGAAAAGAAAATAATATATAAGTATAAAATTACATGTATGTGTATACAAGACAGTTAATATAATTACACTACAAATTTCTTTTAGTTCATTGAAAAGTTAGGTTGGTACTTATATTGGGAATTTCTTGTTTATGCTACCTATTTAAAGATCTTTCTGTATTGTACGTCCATTTAGTTCACTGTTTTTAACCTACTACGTGCTCCATTGAATATTTAATATTTAAAAAATCCATTCTTGCACTGATAGACAATCATACTGCCGTTAATCTTAACAGACATAGAAATACCTACTGGACCACTTTGTATATATCCACATAGTCATATAGGGAGAATTTCTCCTGGACTCTGGAATCCCTGAATTGTAAGATTTAGGCCAACATTATGACTACACTTACTTCCAAAGGAACTATAATAAGGTACACATGCAGGGTTTTAATGTTGCAGATTTTGTGTTTGTAAACTTGGTTTATGATGTACTGCTATAAATTAATATTCTTAGTTATGTTTATATCAGTTACTTTCAATGTATTTAAAATGTGGAATTTACTTTGGTAATTTTTAACTCTAGAGTTAGGAAAATATTATTTTTTATTCTCTATTACAGATGATTATCATTGGTATTTTAAATCATTCTCAGCCTCTGTTTATGTTATGCATATTAGAGATTCAACTTTTTTTATATAGTGAGTCGGTTTTTTTAAATCAACAACCCTTGAAAATTCAACATATTTCCAAGGCAAAATACCATGTGATTTAGCAGCATAAACAAAAAAAATGGGTATCTGTCTATTTATATCTATATCTATATTTTATTTGGAAAAATGTCTTGGTTAATGTTCTCTCAGTGCCGGGACAAAATACTCGACATTTAAGATTAATGTAAGAAAGGTTTATTTTGCTTACCATTTGCGGATGTTTCAGTCCATAATCACTTGGCTCCAAGGCAGTGTGGCATGGCACATGCAACACTTCAAGAGCACAATGGGTAGAAGACAAACCTCTTCTCTGTGCATGTATTGTAAATAGGCTACCACTCCTTCTTGGTGGGTGTAGCAATTACAAAATCTCCATTCCCTCCTCTTGCACAGGCTGAGGATGTTTACAAATTAAGGATCCTGGATCCCTGCTTAGTGGCTTAAACTTGTAAACTTCTCAAATTGACACACTGTATCAACCATAACAGACAGACTTTATAAAGGACTATTAATTTAAAAACTAAGGAATGTAGGAATCCGTGAAAACTAACCAAGTGTAAAACCTTAACAAAGTAAATAAATATTATAGTCAAGAGTATTAAAGAAATGGCAAGATAAGCAGCACTAGCCAGGCAAAAACCTGTAGTCCTAACTCCTCCAGGAGCTGAAGCAGGAAGACTGCTAGGTGGAGGCCGGTCAGGTGTAAGTACACAGTGCTATTTGTACTTACCCTTATCTCCCAGACAAAAGAAAAATAAAACAACAAAAACAGAAAAGATATACATTACTACAATTGTTCAAAAATAAATTTCATGTCGTAACTTACTGATAATTGGGTGAGACATGAAAAGCAATAATTGTAAACATTGAATAAAAGAATATTTTAATAGGATATAACTAAGTATATAAAACATATAGAATATCAGCTAAAAACTTATTGAAAAAATAATTAGTAAAATGACCAGCTATAATATAAGTGAACACAGCTATTAATTTTTATGTAAACAATAAACAATGAAAATAGAATGGCACCTTTGTGAAATTAGGGGGAAAATTGGCAATGAATTTGAAAATATTCATATATATATATATATATATATATATATGTTATTCATCTAGAAGAAATCACTGATATATATACACATATATGGTATTTTATATTGTGCTTGGTATATGAATAAAATTTTATTTATCAATTTATCCTTTCTTAAAGGGTTAAGCTTAGATTCAGTTTTATGTTAATATTACCCTAATTTTTTAAAAGAGTATTTCAGGTACTTTTTCAACACTACGATCCAACCTGGAGCTGGAGAAGTCCTCTACCATCGAGTTATATTAACCGCCCATTTGGGGATTTTGGACTTTCTTTAATGTAT